TTGCACTAGGTGTCAAACGAGTACAAAGTATGAGTGAAAACTGAGCAAATACTTATGTGCGAACATGCAAACGCTAATGCGGTGCATGCGAGCTAGCTAGTACTAGGCAGGCCCTCAGATTCGTTTTGGCGTAGGCTGACTGCTCAACCTTAGGAGTGAGTGCATGGCTGATCAGTCAGTGGAGGTGTAAAAAAAAAAAAAACTGATTTTTCAGGGTATCTATGAGAAAAAAAGCTGAACGAACAGCGTCACTATGCGGATTAAGACTGAACCATTTCAAGCAGGCAAGGCAATCAATTAGCTATTTTTATTTTGAAATAGCAAACGTTTACAGGGGAACTAACTAAACATATCATCATCAAAATCCTCATCCTCATGATCCTCCTCACTATCACTAGAGCCTAAAGCATCTACAGCATGGGGTTCATCTACTTCCATAGCTGTCGCTTTCCCCTTCTTGCTGGTTTCACCTAGGGTGGAAATTGGGGCATTAGAAAATGACTTCCTCTTCTTGTAGCTTCTCTAGATCTCGACCACCTCGTCGTACCGAGGCTCGTACAGCATCAGAGACCTGCACATCAAGCAGGCAGACAACAAACAGTTTTAGTAAGTACAAGCCAAGGGAAACGCTCAAGCCACTTAGTTTTGTACTTATCCAGAGCCTCGGCATAAAGGGCATCAGCAATCTCCTGAACGTTGTTGTCCAGAGCAGGGCGCACGGTGGTTTTTTTGACAACAGCTTCCGAGACTGGGACGCTGGATGATGACTTCCAGAAACTCAGCTTCTGTTGCTTCAGCTTGATTGCGCGATGCTGACGACTTCGACGCCGACGTGCCGATGTGAACGGTGTCGGAAACACCAGGCGGTGTAGGAGGGACGGCCTGGATAGAATCCAGGCTTGAAGGCGCGTCCGGGTTCTCAGGCACTATAGGAACCAGACCGGGTGCAGTGGGCGCTGGAGGTGGTAGTTGGCGGCCTATAGATCTTGGCAGAAGATCTAGCCCGGTACGGGCTTCTTCGATGGCGTCGCTATCGGCGTCATCTAAATCGGCGTCAGCCTCGTCGTCTAAAAGGTCGGCGCTATCGCCAGCCATGGCGGAACAGATAGGAGAGCGAGCTTGGGCACTGAGAGAGCGTGCCGAGAATTGCCTGGTGCTTGAGGCGAAAGAAGTGAAACCCTTGCGAGGTTGGGTGTGGGACGGGGAATTCAAGCAGCTACCTGGGGTTATGCAAGAAGGAGTTGGTGATGGTGAAGCGGGCTTGGTTGGCAAGCTTGCCGTGCCATGATACAAGGCGACGCGACCCATGGAAACATGCACGTACCTGGTTGCAGCTTCGGGGTGGGTGAGGTGGGGGGGTTTCCTAGTCGCGCGGCAACCATTTTGTGTTGCTGTACTACTGTAACGTGCGTGCGTGGTGCTGCGCTGTTGACATTCCATTCGCCACTAGTTGATGTGGTTGCACTAACATCCAATCACGAACGAAGATATCTTCGCGATAAGACAGCTGTGGAGGGAAAGTTCGGCAATGATGCCATTCCCGAATGCGTTGGCAAGGAATCTTGCCATTTCGGTGTGATTGACGGTGGGACGGTTGAACCGGTGTCCATAGACATCCGGAATTCAGGGCACCTAAGCGAATCTCCATTCCAGGGATTTCAGCCCACCCATTCGATACTAGTCTGATGAGACAGCCCACTCGACTGGAAAAAAGCTGAAATTACAGCCCAGACAGTTAAAAAAAAACTGATTTTTCAGCATACACACAATAAAAAAAGCTGCCACAACAGCCCCATGTTTCCCTTAACGGCTGAAATCACAGCCTTTTTACCCCTAATCAGCCTTTTTTCGCTGACTTCTGAGGGCCTCGTACTAGGCTGGCGTCGAGGTTCGGGCCATCGGTGCATGGTTTGGTGATAAATTGTGTGCGAATTTGGCGAAGCCCCATTAGCAGTAACGGGCGAACAACTGCTTGCTGCTGTACGCGATGTTGGCGATCGCGGTAAGGAATGTCGAGAAAATTCCTTGTAAGACTGAAGTAATAATGTATTCTTTGAGGAAACTCGTACTCGTATTATAAAGGATCACCAGGCAGACCCTCGGGAATAACGAAGGATACTCCCCTCAGGCCCAGCAGCCCCGCTGGCGCTCGGTCGAAAATATCGAGGGTGCACAGTACAGGAACAAAAGCTCGACAGGCGACTTTCTTCATTGGACCACCAAGCTTTTCCCTAGATATTCCAGGTACCCAAGCTAGAGAGTCACAGACATCAATTGCTTTCCAGATTTTAGAGTTTGCTGATGGAACAGAGCAATGGGAGCTTTGGTCAGGCGTGTGATGGGATGGGAAGGATAGAGCGAGCTTAGGCGAGTGGACGTGCGAAGCGTGACGGAAGCTGTGAGCTTCTGGCGTTTAGACACGACGCTTCTAGTGCCGAGGAAGAGCACGTGCTTTTCTCGTGTTAATTGCACTTAAATGTTATTTTGCAGAGCGTATACT